GGAGGTATGATAGACATTGTGAAAAGATAGGAAAACACTCAAGGGCAAAGGGCAACTGGAATGTGGGAAAAGAGAAGAGAAAGAAGGAGAAATTTTGTATGTAGGTATATACAGGATAGTTCACATAGTTGTTCTACTGTCTTCTATGTCTTTGCTGAAAGAAACTGTTAATGAGTCCTTGATTGATCAGTATTGCATGTCTCTATCTGTTTTCATGAGAAACCACTTTGAAGATATCAATATGTAATACAACAAGCATTGTTAATTTCCTACCACTTTGTTTGTAAGTCTATATTGTCTGTACTGTTCTTTTGCTATTTTGTAGAAGGTTGTCTGTTAATGTTTTCCTCCTTTTATTTTCAAAATAAAAAAAAGAACAGTTATGTTCCTTATTTTTTTTTGAGATAGGGCCTCACTATGGAGTTCAGGTTGGCCTTGAACCCATTATATAGCCCAGGCTGGCCTGGAGCTCACAAAGATCCTCCTGCTTCAGTCTCTGAGTGCTAGGATTATAAGCATGTACCACTGCCTGCCTGGCAATCGCAAGGTCATGAGTTCAGTTCCTGGTACCGGAGAAAAAAAAAGCATGTACCACCAAGCCCAGCTTTTCATTAAAATTTAAAACTTCTATTCCTTCAAAGATGATGGTGAAAAATAAAAATAAAAAGACAAGTCACAGTCTGGGAGAAAATATTTGCAAAACATATATCTGATAAAGGTCTTATATCTAAAATATATGAAAAACTCCTACAATTTAATATGGAATAAAACTTTGAACAAGGCCAAAAAAATTTAACAGATTTATTAAAGAAGATACAAAAATCATAAGTAAGCACATGAAAAGATGCTCACCTCATTAGGTACAACGGAAATACATATTAAAATCACAGTGAAATACCATTTTCCCCTGTTAGAACAGCCAAAAGTAACAGTACCAAACACTCAACTGGAATGCTCACCCACTGATGGTGGGAATGCAGAATGGCGCAGTCATTTCGGAAAACAGCCCTCCTGTCCACCTGAGATAGGAAAACACTCCGACGCCAAGACCTGTAGGTATTTATTGTAGTCTTATTCATAATCACTGCAGTCTGTTAGCAACACAAAGATCCATCAGCTTCGTGAATTGTTGAACATACTGTGGAACTTCTACACAATTTAAAATTACTCAGAGAGCCGCGTATGGTGGGGCACACCTGTCAACCCAGCACTCAGGAGGCTGAGGCAGGAGGATCACCATGAGTTCAAGGCCAGCCTTTACTACACAGTGAGACCCTGTCTCCAAAAAACAAACAAACAAAAAAGTAAGATTACTGAGAAACCAAAGAAATGAACTACCAATAACTATATTGATGAATCTCAAAAATATTATCGTAAGTGAAAGAAGCCAAACACAAAAGGCTACATACTGTAGGATTCATTAAAACATGACAGAAAAGGCAAAAATATAGGAAGAGAATCAGATCAGTGGTTGCTAGAACTGGGCCCTGCAGGGGCAGGAGTAGGGACTGATTGCAAACTTGCTGTATTGCAATTGTGATGCTGGTTACTCAACTGTTTACATTTGTCAAAACTCAGACATGTATACCTGAGAAGAGTTAACCTATCTGCATGCAAATTATACCACACTAAACTTCACAAAAAGTAGGCCACATTTCATGTTAAAAATATAATTTATAAGTAATTGCAATTAGATAAGACCAGCCAGCCATGGAAAACTCCAGACCTTGCCTCCTCCCTTCCATCAAAGAACATAGTCACTACTCACGGATTTAGATGTGGGGAGTCAGAGGCTCTTCTGACTTAAAAAGAATTTCACAAGGGGTCTCCTGATTGTTAATGAACTGCTGAAGAAGTGGTATGGAGCTATGGAGAGGCTCCTTGGTTCAACAAGAAGAAAGGATCCTTTTATATAGTTTTCCTCCCACAAAGAAGAATGAAAATTTTTAGGAAGTCAGTTATCACAGAATGAGCTTAATTTTATAAATTATCTTGGTAAGCGGTTTCTCTTTCCCCATCTATAAAAAGCTGGTTGATCCAGAGACTCTTCCGCATGGGAAAAGCTTAAAGTCTGACTTTCTCTACTAGCATGGAATCTTGCTGGATCTCCAAGGAGCCTCTGAAAGTCCTCTGGTCTGTGAGTCCTGTGAACCTGCAGAACATCCAAGCTCTGCCCCTTCTGTGCTGTTGGCTGCAGGTACAGGGAGTAACATGTTGGAGGGGGCATTTCTACACTCCAGTGACTCGTCAGCTTGGGAGCAGGTCACATGCGGTGACTGCCATTCATGAGGCCTGCTCTGCCCCAGGTCACAGAATTAAGATCTGTCAGCCGCTGTGTCCAGTTCTCCCCCAAGGCCCTGGCCCCGCAGTCCTCCAACATGCATACCTCCCTGTGAGCAGGAGCGTCCGGGCAGCTTTACATCAGCCCTACTGCCACCACTCAAGGGCTCTGCCATGGTGCCTCCTGTAGGGTGGTGCAAGCTGCCCACCTCCTTCACAGGAAAATGTCCCATAGGGACCTTGTTTCCCAAGAATGCCTCAAATGTCCACCTATGAGGAGCTCAGCAAAATAGGGTTCCCATGGTAGGATGAGCTTGGTGTGCTCCAACCAACAATCAGCTTGTAAAGGGCTTGTAAGCCTTTGTATTAATGAAACTCATGTAGTGCTGGTTTCCATGTAGCTCACTCAGCTAGGAAACTCTCTTTCATGCAAACCTAAATATATCCCACGGATCTAGAGTTCTGCACACTCAGAGCAATGCTCTTAGCTGCCTTGCATGTGTTTATTTATTCATAAGCTTGTAAGAAAATTTTTGTTTCCAAGAAAAAAATGACACACATACTATGCTAAATCTATGGGAAAATGGGGGTGGGTAGATCTGTTCACAGTACTTGTAGATGGATAATGCACCCCTGGAAGGACTAGATAACTAGTCCTTCTGGGCTGTGTCCAGAGAAGCACAGAAGGCAGCTGGGGCAGGCAGGGCTCCCTGTGGTGTGAGTGTGTTTAGCCCCTTAAATCAAAATAACAGGTACAGCTGGGCGTGGTGGCACATGCCTGTAATCCCAGCCCTCAGGAGGCTGAGGCAGGAGGATTGCCACGAGTTCGAGGCCAGCCTAGGCTACATGCAAATTCAAGGCCAGCCTGAGCTACATAGCAAGACTGTTTCAATCCCCCTCCCAAATAATAATAACAGCATACTAAAAAGAATAATACAAGGTTTAAAAATATAAAAATATTCACTGGTACATGTATACACACAGTGTCATAATTCATATGAGAATAACCACTGCTAATTCCTATGGTTTTACCCCAGTCCCATTAGTCTATTTTTGCTTTTGTTCCATTATATCCAAGAAATCACTGCCAAGACCAATGTCATAAAGCTTTCCCCCCATGCTCTACTTTAGTTTTAGGTCTGTGTTTAAGTCTTTAGCTCCTTTTTAGTTGATTTTTGTGCACAATGGTATGAAACAGTACAATTTCATTCTTTTGTGTGTGGGCATCCAAGTGCCCCAGTGCCATCTATCGAGGAGGATAAGCCTTCCCATCACGTTTCCCCAGCACTCTTGCTGAGCATCAGATGTTCCAGATGTATTTCTGGACCCTCTTCTATTGCATGGTTGTACATGTCTGTCTTTAGGCTCCTTACGTTTGTAATTGCTGCAGCTTTGTTTTGCATTCTGAGACAGGGTCCTCTATAATTAATGCTGGCCTTGAACTCATTATGTAACCTGGGCTGGCCTCAAACTCACAGCGATCCTCCTGCCTCAGCCTCCCAAGTGTTGGGATTACAACACTACACCCAGCCTGCACCTTTGTAATACATCTTGAAATTGAAGCTTTGTTTTGGGTATTTAGGATTCTGTGATTCCAAATCAATTTTAGAACTTGTTTTTCTAATTCTGTGAAGAATATTGGAGGGACTTTTATATAGATTGTCTTGAATCTTAGCTCATTTGAGTGGTATGGACATTTAAGCAATATTGTCTTCTAATCCACAAACACAGGATGAAATTACTTCAACAAAATAAAGGTCATAACTGTAACTAGGTGTGGCACCACACATCTGTAATTCTAGCACTCTGGGAGGCTGAGGAAGAAGATAGGAAGTTCAAATCCATCCTCGGCAACTTAGCAAACCATATCTAAAAAATATTTTTTAAAAAGGCTGGGAGTGTAGCTCTGTGCAAAGGCTCCAGGTTCAATGACCAGTACCACTATCAATCAATCAAATAAAAATAAAGGTCATACCTGAAAAGCCCACAGCTAATATATCACTTAACAGTGAAAACAAAAAGCTCTTCTTCTAACACCAGAAACAAGGTAAGGTTGCTCACTCTTGCCACTTCTGTTCAGTAAAGTGCTGGAAATCCTAAGCAGAGCAAGTAGGCAAGAAAAAAAAGGCACCCATATCTGAAGAGGTAAAATCATCTCTGTCCACAGATGACATGATCTCACATGTAGACTGCACAGAAAAATCTGTTAGAATAAAGGAATTCAGTTAAGTTACAAGATACACAATCAACATACAAAAAGAAGTGGTGATACTGTACACTAACAATGAACTCTCCCGAAAGGAAATGAGGAAAACAGGTGGAGCAGCTCACCTCTACAATTCTAGCACTCAAGAAGCTGAGGCATGTAGAACCCTGTAGGTTTGAGCCCAATGTTGGCTACATAGTTCAACTATAGCCCGAACAACATGGTAAGCCCTTGTCTCATTAATAAATAAGTAAATAAAATACTTATAAATATACTTAACTAAGGAGGTAAAAAACTTGTACACTTAAAACTATAAAACACTGATGAAGGAAATTAAAGATGACTGTTTATAGCAGCGCAATTTGTAATAATAGCTAAATCGTGGAAGCAACCCAAATGTCCATCCACTGAGGA